AACTTTGCAACTACGTGTCAACTAACTCTCATTAGAGTATTAGTAGGCTTAGGTTAGGGTTAGGGTTGGTAGAATGTTGACTTACTTGCAAAGTTACTTATAGTCAGTTTGTCTGTTGGGGAACCATCAAAATAATCAAACTGATATTACATTAAATAGTTCAAAGCAAATATGTCTTATTACACATTCATCTGATCTGATATCTGATCTTATGGCTGTTTGAGAAAAAAATATTATTATTATTATTATTATTACTACTAATAAGTGGTCTTTGATGGCTTTAAGTAAAGTAGCATAAGAAAGATGGCAAGATATGAGACTTATAATACATTAACTATGAGCAATATAATCCATTGTAACTTAAGTGGATGCAACATGTTCACTGTGTTTTATAAATCATCATACTCTTAAAAGCTATAACCAAAAATAAGTAAATATTATAAAACATTAAAACTGTTCTTATGAACATACATAAGATGATATAACATATTATAAGGGCTTTTATAATGCATTATGCATTCATTATAATGCCTTATGAATACCCTTATAATGTTTTATAAATATGGGCTTCATAGAAAGTGTTACCGACATTTTTTTTATTATTATTTAAAATGAATAGTTTTTTGTTTCGATCCTGTCATAAAAACATACAGGATTTGCTAATGCTAGTTGTGGTATTGGAAGAAAAGTTCTCATTTTAAAGAGCATTGGCTCTGTTAGCAAATGGCATTCTAATGTAACCTCTCCTGTTACAATCACTCTTTTCCAGATCGCAGGCATGTTGTATTACAGTAATAAGTTGGCAGTCCAGAAGTTCTTACGTGTGCCAGGATGGGCAGCCAGATGTGGTTCGGTGCTCCTAGAGCCGGTCTTCTCTGATTCTGAGCCCACTGCAGAGGCCCCGCTGGGGATGGGTGCTACTTTGGACATCCAGAGACAGCAGAGGATGGATATGCTTGACCAGCAACTGCTCCTGTCTCAGCTGGCACACCTCAGTAGAAATGCACAGCAACAACAGGCTCAGGTATTTCTACAGTATTTTTATTATAGGGACAATCCCTCTTGAGCTACCTGGGGTGACTGACTTATAGCATTATGGTTATCAGTCCAGACTTATAACATTAGGTTATTCTACAACCCCCTCACATGACAGTGAAGAACTAGTCTTGCCATGAATGGAATACTGCTTACTCCTTCCAAAGGTCAGCTGAACATCTCACTTGCAGCCATGGTTTAATTCTTCTTAACCTTTTTGACTCGAAGCCCCATTGTCCAACAACAATGAGGCAAGATTTTTCCCTCAGAATTATATATACAGTGGGTACGGAAAGTATTCAGACCCCTTTAAATTTTTCACTCTGTTATATTGCAGCCATTTGCTAAAATCATTTAAGTCAATTTTTTTTCCTCATGAGGGGGAAAAAATAAAACATTTTTATATGATTTTATGTTTTATGTATGTTTAATGTATTTAATTAAGATAGATTATTTTAATCTATTAATAATGGGGATATTAATTGTAGTCATACAAAATATTAGAGTAATTTTAAGTTATCCTGTGGCCCCTTGGAAGTTTGCTGGGGCCTCCTAGTGGGTCCCAGCCCCCTGGCTGAGAACCGTCTAGGTTACTTGTGTAACCCTCGTTCCCTGAAGGAGGGAACGGAGACGTTACGTCAGTCGTGACTGACAAATTGGGATCTTGCCCGAGAGCCCAATCACCTTCGAGTGTTAACTAAATAAGCCAATGACAGTTGGCATGCGTGTTTCGCCACGCGCACCCCGCCCCGCAGCGTGGGTATAAAAGGAACATAGTTGCGTAGGTCCCTTGGCAAGGGAGTAAAACAACTGGCAATTAGACGTGTCCGGGGAGGCAAACAGGTCTACCTGAGCATCTCCAAATCAGCTGGACTGTCTCAGGGTGGAGTCGCCATTCTCCCAGAAGGGCGGGCTTATGTGAGAGCTCGTCAGCTGCACGATTGAACTCGCCTGGGATGTGAACGCCCTGGTGGTTGATGTACGCAACGGTCGCAGTGTTGTCCGTACGGACCAGTACATGCTTGTCGTGCAGCAGCGATTTGAAGCGGCGCAGAGCTAGCCATACTGCTTGCAACTCGAGGCAGTTAATATGCCACTGCAGCCGGGGCCCCGGCCGGAGCCTTGCAGCTGCATTCCCATTGCACATGGCACCCCAGCCCCTGGCAGAGGCATCTGTTGACACAACAACATGCCTGGATATTTGCCAGAGGGACACCCTTGTCCGAAGAAAGGCAAGATCTGCCCACGGGCTGAAGGTCCGACGGCAGCATGGGGTGACAGAAACCCGGTAAGTGCCGTGCCATGCCCATCTCGGGACCCGGTCGGGAAGCCAACACTGAAGCGGTCTCATATGAAGCAACCCGAGCGGCGTGACTGAAACTATTTTAGTGGAACCGCCGTCTTGCACTGGAAGAACCCCAGGCAGTTCAGCATCGACTGAGCACGTTCTACTGAGAGACGTGCCGAGAGGTTGACCGGGTCCGGCTCCATGCCGAGAAAAGAGATCCTCTGCACTGGGGAGAGTTTGCTCTTTTCCCAGTCGACCCTGAGGTCGATCGCTGCGAACCAATCGAAAGGACGGACGCATTGAAAGATGCGTTTCTGCGTCAACATCCTGAACGGTAGCTTGTGAAGGGCCCGGTTCAGTACGCGCAGGTCCAGGATTGGTCGTAAACCCACGGCCTTTCTTGGGTACGATGAAGTATGGGCTGTAAAAACCTGACCTCATCTCGGCTGGAGGGACCAGCTGTATCGCGTCCTTCGCCAGCGGGACCGCGATCTCTGCGCCCAAGACAGAGGCACCCCGTTCCAGCACAGAGGAGAACCGAATGCCCCTGAACTTGGGAGGATGCCGGGCGAATTGCATCGCATAGCCGAGTCTTACGGTTCACATGAGCCAGCGAGATGGCCTGGGGCATGCTAACCAGGCTCCCAGCGACCGAACAGGCGGGACTAGGGAAACCACCAATGTACCCGCAGTGGGGCAACGCAGTGGAACACAGGGACCCAGCCCGGGAGGCTTCCGTGCGTCCTAGGGTGGGGTCTGAGTGCGCGGCGTGCCACTTACCTTGCTCCACGGCTGGGCAGGGGGCTTGTGAGGAGGCATAACGTCCTTAAACTGAACTCTGCTGCCCATTGGCGAAGGGAGAGGGGGACGGCCATGTGGAGACTGGGTCTCGCGCACTGCCATCCTCGCCCTCTTGGAACCCGGAGAAAAAGGAACCCGCTCTTCTGTTGAGGTTTTGGGCACCACTGGCTGGGTAGCCAGCGGCGGAACAGAAAAAAACAGGAACAAAGGTTTCTCCACCCGGCCCTCCGCCGGGGGAAGGAGTGGTGCGGTCACCATCTCCTGAAGAGC